ATAACCTAAACCTTCCCCTTTTAAAGTATTTCTATGTTTTAACATTTGAAGTTTCTGTCGAAAGCATGGGGTAGACAACATGGACACAACACGACACAGTAAATTTTAAAAAATTCACACCAGCACATGCCCAACAGATGTGTATAATAGGCATGTCCAACAGTTTTGTTCAACATGCATGTCCTGATATGACACAGCTCCAACATTGAAGTGCCTGAAGTGCCCTTGCTACATATACATCAATTGTCAACTTATCTTTAAAAAAAAGGTCTCAAATTTTGGTAATGGATGACACCAACAGAATATGATCCCAGAAGGTTTCTAATTTCAAATGTTATTATAATCCGAATTTAATTGTAATGGACATAAAAATGAATATTAGAAAATATAGACGAGTCCCTAGTTTCTTTGTATACATGCTAGCCAATAACTTTATACTCTTAGCTTTTTTTTCCGTCCATCTCTCAGATGATGATGGTGATGACGGTGAGATCAAGATTTAGGGAATTTATTAGAAACAATATAGGTTAAGTCTGGGTAGCATCACTATTAATGAAAGGTTTGAGGAAAGCAAGAAATCAATCAAGAACATAACCCGCATAGACTACAGGCTCATTCTCATGCGTGGAACTGCTACCACTGATCCCAATGCATTTTACGCATAAGTACATATTTTCAAATAATGTCCAAAGTCAAAATAAGTCATCACCAGCTTAAAACAGAAATATCACCTTGAACATGATAACGCTAGCCAGAATTGTTAGTGATGTAAACATCACGTAATATATGGGCGACACAACTGCTATATTGAATGTATCAAGGGCCTGCAAAAAGGATATGACTTCTAATCATCTATTGAATTTAAAGGAACAGAGTATTCATATTAGAAAAAAAGAAATTTGAAATATAAACATGACTTTGATATGGAACTTATGTAGTTTGACAATTGAGCAAATTCCAATAGAAAGATCAAGAAACTAATTGGCTGATGTGAAAATACTAGTTCAGTTAGTCACTGCATGAACCACGACGTCCTGAGCCAGAACTTCTTAAAAGGTCACTCATCCAGGAGTGCTCCTGCTCAAGCATGCTTAACTATGAAATTTTCCAGAAATCACAATTCTTTCCTCAATTATTTATGGAAATTATTATATAAAAAAGAATTTCTTTGCACGTCCTGTATTACTAACTTGGTGTGCTACAAAGTCCCTAGAACAAAACCTGGTCCAGATCATAGATTTCTCAGTGCTAATCATGTTAACCACTTGACTCATTGAAGAAGCACTATTGGAGACGAAATCAAAATTGTAAACTATTGGAAGAATCCTAATTCATTTAGAATGGGAGAATTTATTTTTTGATTACATATTTGATCTTGAGTTTATATTGAACATTTAAATTAGACATATTTGACCTTAATTTAGGATTAGCTACTACTTACTAGATTTGTAATATTCAGATGTTAATGTAGAGAGAAATTGATATGATTTATGATGAAAATCCAATGGTCAAATGCATGTAAGTTGCATATTGTTGTGAGGCCAAATTGAATATATGTGAGTGGCATACTGGTGTGGGGTCAATTTGAATGTATGTGGGTTGCATATCAGTTTGGTTTGAGGCCAGATTCTATACTTGAAGCAGCATAAGAATTCCCCAAAACTCTTTTCCTATTGCTTCTGAGCACCCCAAAGCCCAATCCAGCAAAACAGCCACCGAGATCCTCCCAAACAGTCGCCTTTCTCCCTCTTTTGCAAGTTGCCAACAAGCCTAATCCACCCAACAGCAAATTCTCATCAATCGCTCACTTCTTCCACATCATTTGCTTTTACTATTAAAGCAATTATCCTCAATGAGGTTTCAAATGCCAACTGTCATTTCTGGGGAGTTGATGATCCATATAATTATAAAGGTTAATAAAACAAACTGGAAGCTTTGTTTTCTTATTATGATATGGAAGAAGTGGAGATGTATTTATACGTGAAGTGTCAGATAAAGGGGAAAATAAAAGCTCAGTGGTAAAAAACTACTCTGGCTATATAGTTCATGTATGTTTATTAATGCATATGAAATTCTTCCTGAAAGGATGACTCCTATAATCCTTCATCTAGAAGATCTAATTGTTTTCATAAATGTCTAAGACCAAAACTGGGGGGCAACATCTCCCATCTCCCTACGCAGTGTACTGACTGCTTTTAAATACCGCAACTAATTTAAACCAACAATTCAGTGAAACCTTCAAAATGCTGATCTACATCTTTTATTAACTCAAACACCTGACTGCATAACATCAGACTTCATTTTTATGCATAAATTTACCTTAAATTTAGTCAATGTTCTTACTTCATATGGCTATAAATTCCTATAAGGGCTAAAGCAACTAAGGAACCAACTGAATTGTTCAACTTAATGGACACTAGATAATTCATAGTTTATTTATGCCCTTCAACATTTCGACAATATTGATCATAAACTCAAAGCTGTTCCATTGTTTACATCACACTGAAAACTAATTAGACTTCAAATCCTGGAATTGAGTTCCATTGTTTACATCACACTGAAAACTAATTAGACTCCAAATCCTGGAACTGAGGAACCACTGAATAAATGTTTCCATTTACAAATGGTCTCATAATACCTCTGTTACTCTCTTGGGCTCAAGACTACCGTAATTAAAATGTTCAAATGAAATTTAACTATGAAATGCTATTTTACTATTTATAACTTGAAAAAGAATGTAACTCAATAGAAATTTGACAATGAATTTACAACATTGAACTAGATCAGTTGTGCATAAAATTTATTGAGAAAACAATAACAACAATATTATGCTAAAAGTACAGTTATATACATACCTTGTTCAAATAGTTCATTTGAGTAACCACACATGTAATTACAACTATGGTGAAAGCCCATGTCTGTGGATATGTTAACTGATTCATCCCAGAAAATGTTAGCTTCAGAGCTATTCCCAGAGCTTTCACACCCATTACCTGTGTAGGAATTAATTCTGATAATATGAAATAGCAAGTTGACAAGAAAACATAACAGGTGAACATAAGTATGTATGATCTTAGGTACGTAGATACGTACCGATAAAGAACCCACAAGAGAACAGATGCCAATGTACACCATGATATGTGTCTGCCCATACTGAGGCATGACATAGAACATAAGTACAAATACTGCTGCAATTACTATAGCCGCATAGAACAGAAAGGCTGCAGCAAACATCACTTCAATAAACATTAATGTCGTAATTTGGAACATAGTCATATACAAAACAAGACCAAGGCTTTATAGAGGTTTCCTCCAGTATCTTTTTTTTAAATGTCAAACCTGGTTCAGTAGCCAAATCCCAGACTTCTGTCACAGATTCAATCTCACGCTCCTGGGGGGCATGGAGGACAATTGTAATTGATCCCACAACGCATAGAACACAACCAAGGATACCAAAAATATGTAGCTTCTCCCGCAAAATAATATGTGCTAGTACAGCACTGCAATAAGAGATTGCAAGTGTCAAATTATGCATGTAGTACTTTAAAATTTCAATATCACGGTATGATGAGACCATGCCTGATGATTATGCTTAGTGCACCAAGAGGAGTAACCAGAATAGCAGGAGCAAATGCGTAAGCTGCAAAATTAGCAACTTCTCCCACAATCACTGTTTCATAAGCATGAATTTTTTAGTATGTATTCTAATTTGTGAGTAGCACAGCTATGAAGTAGACATAAATATAAATGTGAAACGTGTCAGAGGAGAATTCCGCAATACCACAAACTTCAGAATAAGATGATATGAAAGTGGCTGTTACTTGTACTGTTGCTGGCTTGCTGATGATGTTTTCTTAGTTGATAAGACTGAAGGAATGATTTCTAAACTAGGAAAGTAGAGATGTGGCAAGATAGCTTTAGAATCTACAGTACAACATTTAAGATGACAAAAACCAAACATATGAAATGTGATTTTCAAAGAAGCACAATCCTTCGTATTGAAATACACAAAATTGATAAATTTGATTAGACAAGTTCATTCATCTGTTGCGATGATATTGTTCATAAAAATTAAAACAGAACTACTAAAATAGAGAAGATATTCTACGGTTTTTATCTAGAATACAAATGAAGGTGAGGGGCAACATTCAAAAAAAGTTTAAAAAACAATTAGCCATGATTTATGAATCAACATGTTGAGCAGAAGTAGTATTCCCAAAATAATGATAGAAGCCGAATCAACATATATAAGAATGTTGAGGTGAGCAGAAATATTCAACAAGATAGTATAAGAAATGAGTCTTAGTTATTAGGAAGTTGATAAAGCTAGTGTAAGGACAATTGTTTCATGAGAAGTTGAAGTAGCTTCAGCTGAGGATGAGAATTGAAAGAGAGGAGCTTTTTTCACGTCCATGGGAGGGGATGAGTGCATCATATAAGAGGAATAGGGTCATAGGTGAAACATTAACTAGTACAAGGATATGCCAAAAAGAAAATAACCTGAAGCAATTTATATTTGGGTGCCTACAGGTATATATGTATGCAGGTTTCTGTATGTGTCTTGACAAAAGAAAACTTCCACTTATGGCCTAAAATATTTGGACATTGCTAGTTAAACCAAGGTGTGATGTACAACAAAGCTGAACTGGAGGAAAGAAAGCAGGCCCCAGTATTTGGACAAAAGCTTTATTGTTGTTGTTTTTTTTTTGTCGTTGTGGTCCCACTGGTTTCTTATAAACTTTACAAAGTGACAAACTAAGCTTTATTTATCCAAGAAAAAACTCCAAAATTATGAAGACCACATTGCCTCTACTTGAACGAAAATATATCAGGCAACCTAACATTACCACAAGTAGTCATTGAGAAAGAAACAAAGAAGTGACACTGCTAAATAATCTTCGCACTTTGTCAGTCTAGAAGATATCACCACTAATCAGACTTAGTATAAAGATTGTCTTCTAAAGTTGTCAAGTTGTCAAGTAAAAAAATAAAAAAATGAAAAAAATAAAAATAAAAATAAACTAAAGCCTTCACAAAAATTATGACTTGTGGTCCATAAATCACAACATTAGCATGTGCAGGTGTTCTGTACATCTTGAAAGTGACACATCGATGTACGAACTTCATAAATAGATGACTTAAACATGCTGGCATTCAAGCTTCTTGGAGAAAGATACAGTTTAAATTAGTTATAGATGTGGATGAATGATCAAGTTGGTTCCTCAATACCAAATGACTCTCCTGCAGTAGCCTGTGGCATCTAGACTATGAAGTTTCAATTCTACCTACAAGTTCTTTCTTATCTAAAAGAAGCATAAAATACACTAAGGGTTCTCCAATTGATGGCAAGCAAACAGCTCGAGATATAATGTTGATGCAGTATAATATGAATGGATATGCAATAATCAAAAAGATCAAGAGGTCTTACTTGTTATCATCCCTGCCCACCAGAGCGGCTCATACAAGTAAGAATAGCCACCAACTCCTGTCGCGAGTTAAAAAAAAAAAGATATCAACATAGGCATCTAAAGAGAACAGACAGAAACTCCAGGAATGCAAAACATAAAAATTAGAACTACTTTAAGTATAAGAGCAAATGCATAAGCCTAGGTAACATAGGCCATACCAAAAAGTATTGTGAGATTTTTCATGCATTTACGAAGCAGGTTGATTTCTGCTTGTGTACGGATGACAGGTATGGAATCATAAGTCCAGACTGTGCACAAAGATACTTTGGAACAGGCTGGATCTTGTCTGATTCTTTAACTATTAATCCTTATGAATTTCGTCATTCTACATTAAAAATGCACAGCTTAAGGCCATCTGCATCTTCTTTTTCAAACATATCAAAAAGAAATTTGTTGCCATTTTCTATGTCAGTAACTTTATGCAGTATATACGTGGCAAGATGATTCAATATATTGAAAGGTCAGATACAGGATATACTCAGAAATTAGCAAACTATTCATGACTACTTACTAATTTTGGATTTTGAGAAATTTTAACTAAGAAAATTTTGGCTATGACAGCGTTGCGGAAGACTGATTGCATTACCCAGATAGATCAAGTTTTGGAATCAAAGTGAAGAATGACATAAAGTGATCCCGAAATCAGAGTTCCTCCAGCAAGCTTGGTTGCTGATGAGCAAGATTTCAAATTTCAAGGGCAAGATTTGAGAAATGCTGAAATTACCATGTAAGTAATCTATAGATGGTTGGTAGGTTTGGAAATTACCACTGTTTTAAAAAAGCCTTCACCTAGTCCGCCTACGCGTACGCCAAGGCCTAGGTGGTACCTAGACAGCCTAACCTAGCCTCTAGGCAGTATCTATGTTGTCCAACTAGGTTTTGGGAGTGTTTAGGAGAGCATTATCTACTTATGTGTACTACACCTTTTAGGTATTGATTGTAATTTTCTGTGTTGCAGCCTCCACGTTCTTCAACATCCACCAAACTCCTTTAACCTTCAAATATGAACACCTCCACTACCTCCTCCAACCTTCAGCAAAACCTCATTGACTACCACTTAAATAAAGAAAGAAATATGCCTAGACACCAGTCCAGCAATTAAGCTTTCTATAACATTGACATTTACTCTCAATTATTGTGATTAAAAAATAAAAAAAGAAAACGTCCTACGCTCTAGGCGTCTGGTCCAACGCCTAGGCCTCTTAGCGCCTTCTATAACCTCGTTAGTTATTATTTTTGGCTATTTAGTATTTAAGTATGCATGGTTTTTTGTAGATCTAAGATTGCTATCTTTTTTTGTTTCAAATTTATATGAATGTAATACATATTTTTATTAATTATTATAATTAAATAACATTAAAAAAGCCAAACGCCTAGGCGCTGCCTAGGCATACGCCTAGACATCTAGGCGTTAGGCGCCGGCTCAAACGCCTAGTCCGCCTATAGCTTTCTGTTACATTAAAAATTACCCCTAACCTCACTTGATCTCAACCAAACCCAATGTATTAAATATTGGCCAATATATCGCTATATAGGCCGATATATCAGTTTTGATGCTCTTCTAATACGATATTTATAAAAAAAATACCACTTTTTCCGATTTATCGGAAATATTGACCAATATTTCATTGAGGAAATATCGGTCAATATTGGCTAATATCCAAATAAGAACGGTTATTGAGTTCGGGTTTGGTTTTGGTTCCCACTAGACCCAAAAACTTAATAAGTTCCCAAATCCAAATACCCTAAATCATTACAATCTCATATTTCTTCATCATCTTCATTTGGAACTTCAGCCCAAAAAAGCTAGGGATCTCAGGTACGAATCTCTTTCTTCTCTCTCCACTCTCTCTTTCTCTTCTCCAATCCTCTCTCTCGGCTCTCTCTCAACTCCCCCTCAGACTCCTCTATCCCTCTTCCTCTCTCCTCTCTCTCAACTTCTCTCTCCCTTCTCACTGTCTTCCTCTCTCTCCTCCGTTCAAGTCCTCGCTCTCTGACCTCCACATGTATCTAATGTCTCTAGACAATGTATATCATTATTCATGATGCAATTTATTATGTTTAGAATACACTAAACATGTTTTGATTACATATTACAATGTTATGTCATATATGAACATCATCCGATATAACACCCCGATATTTTTTACATATATCCGATATATCCCCGATTTCTGCAATACGATATAGATTTTGGTCATCCGATATTTTTGATATTTTTAATATTTAGTACATTGACCGAACCAACCAGTGGTTGTGAAATAAAAAGAAATAACAGAAACATATGTGAAGTAAAGGCTGCAGAATTCGAAGTTATTACACATCTGTATCAAATAGTTTTAACTTTGCATGACAGACAAACTCTAAACTGACTTTTAAGACCGCTTAAGTTAATCATCAACCCAACCAACCCAACCAGTTGTTACAAAATACGAAAAATATTGTTCCCTAGCTTGTCTAATATCACCAGTAGTATTCAATATGTATCTCTTTTGCCCGTATGCATTTACCTAACTCTGTTCTGTACAGCTCAAACCTTACGTAAGATGAATTCGATTAATCTCTCAGACACAGAACAAGTAAAAAAGGTAATGGAGTCACTTACCAATGGAATAGTAATGCCTAAGATTAAGCCATCTAATATCTACGTTCATCTGTTTACATTCTCGCAATTATAATTCTTGCCCGATGTTGAACCATCTTAGTAATACCCCTTAAGCAAGTAGACTAACGACTTAAAGGAACGTTTTTTGCAGATAACCCCATCAAAAACATCTAGATTCTATTTCTTGACCATCTTTAATCTGTTATTTATAACTTAATCCAGAGAAAACTATCTACAAGTATACGTCCAAGCTCAGTAGATCTGATGGACGCATCTAAATACTGTCACTAAGGAATCAAAATTACTTTTTTTTTTAAAGCAAACAAACAAAATCCAAGCAGAAAATCAAGGAAATTACCAGCCCTAACTCCGGAAGCGCCGGCCCTTTTCAGCCCTTTCTTCTTAACAATGAAGCTAGCACCGATGAAGAAGCTCGAAGACAGCGCGAGGACCAAACCCTTGATGTTATCGGCGGACATCCCCTTGTACGCGTCGACCCAACTGTGACCCGATGTCCCAACATCGGGCGCCATTATCGAAAACCCTAGATATTTAGGGATTGGAAGGAGATCGGATTTGAGGGTCGATGGGGATCTGTCGGCAGTGGGTGGAGTGAAAATGAGGAGGTAGCGCTGAGGGAAAAGGGAGTATCAGCAAGAGAGAGAATATGGATAGCAGGGGAGTTTAGTCTTTTTAACCGCTACGATTTTTCTGCCAGCCTAGTCATTTAGATTTTACAAGTTACGTGCGACGATGCACGTGGTAAATTTTTTATTATTTATTTTAAATTTATAATTTTATTTAGAGAAAGATTTGTTATTAAATTATTGAATGTAAACAATGGATGAAACATATAGACATAAGCTAAAAATTCAACATTGAACAATGAAATTACATTTAGTAATTGATTGGGTGATGATACACATGCAACCTGTTATCTTTGACTAAATCTCAACATACACAATACACACACAAAAGATTTACGAAAGCAACTTAAAACTAAATAACTTTATTATTCAGATACAAAAACCTCATTTCCTAAATTACCCCTACTCCTTTATTCTATTTACCACATCAGCCGCCAGTTATTTTTTTCACTTAACACGTAAGCTTCTAATATGCGTTTTATTTGCGCTAATCACACTTGGTAGGGGTAATTACGGAAGTTAGCATTAACAATAAATAAGTAAATGAATATAATTCATTCGAGAAATTACCTTGCTTAAGGTGCATTCTATTATTGCATCTTTCTCCGAACACAATAGGATATCATGTAAAACAACACCAAAAATGACAAACAAACACTGACAATAATTAGAGAAAATACATGAAAATGTCCTCTTCATTACAATAGAAGCAAGTAAATAATCACCTTTCCAGTCAAAAGAAGCCACACAAGACCCTCGGGCAATGGCTCCTTCCCACCACTTGCAGCGGGTAATACGTTCTGACATGAAGCCACACAAGACCCTCGGGCAATGGCTCCTTCCCACCACTTGCAGCGGGTAATACGTTCTGACATTCAGGGATAGAAAGCCCCCTAAAACGAATACCCTGAAAATATAAATGTTGCGTCATCTATTTAAGTATTTTGAACAGCCTCAGACATTATAGAAGGAAGCACACTAAAACTTTGCTGATGTTGTATCAAATTTTCATTCTTTTGGCAATATTTAAAAACAGTGCACTTGTCTTCAATACATATATAGCATATATTACAATCAAACTCACATCATCAGGATCAAGTAATGATGTTTCTCACAATAATCCAGTCATTCCTCTCATTCCACCTATAACCTATCAAAATTCAACGACTTGAGATCAATTAACGTTATCTACACACTATCGGCTATGTGCCAGTAATAGGTGTGTTGCCCACATAGCCACATGGAAAACATAAAATTGACATATCCGTAATTTATTGAGATGAGCACCATATCCACAGTGATGTTGCCAAGTTGAACTTTTCCATGTTCTGATTTTAGCTTCTTCAACCGCTCCTGTGATGTATAGTAAAATAAACAGGGTAAGGCTCAAGAAATCAAGCAATTATAAGCACACAAGAGTGTAAACTGCATCTTTGGCTTAATTATGGGTTTGAAAATAACATGTTTGATGTTTAATGTTTCAGGTATTAGTTTATGTGTCATCTTTAATGTATGCTTTGAATAATTACTCTACATTAAGTATCATCTAAAAACTAATAATTTGCAAATGATTTCTAAATGTGCGTTGATCTATTAAATTACTTATTAAAATCAAGCAATATCTTATTTGTAAATCTTTTGTGCATGTTTTATATATGCTAAGATTTAGTCATAGAGAACTTGTTGCGCGTGCATAAAATTTGTTAGATAATTTTTTATTAATAATAGGAATATAGATGTTTTGAAAATACTTCACTTGCGTCTTTCTCTGTTATCCTATTATCACTACCAATTTTAGATAGCTAATAAATATCTCCGTCTATTTTTTCTGACGTCTGAATTTAATGTTTAACAAGATGAACAAGTGCTAATTGAGCTGAAGAAAAAAATTATGCAAGCAAGAGTAAACAAAATGTATGCCACTCACACAGATATTATAAAAAATCCTCAAGTAATTGAAGATGCAGTCAAACGGCCTCATAATTCCACTTACCTTCTTGTTCACAGCATCAAGTTCCTCCTTTATTATCCCTTCAAACAAACATATATTTTTAAGAGAGATCGCAACACATCAGTATGGTAGAAACAAGCTCAAGAAATAAAAAAAAAAGTAAAATCTATGAAGAGATCTCACCATCATTTGGCTCCAATTCTAGTGCTTTTTTGAAACTTTCTACTGCAGCATCCACATTATTCAGTGCTATTTGTGCCTAGAAAATTTATAAGGCTAAAAAGTAGCGACCTAAAGCATGGAGAGTCACAATAATATAGCTAATATATATTTTTTTTTCCTAAGCAATATGATAGCTGCCAGGACTCTCATGTATAAGTAAAGATATCAACTAACATAAATCCTTCCAACCATAGCTACAACTACCAGTAAAATAGCTGCAAATGATGAAATATGTATCGATAGAAATACCAGGGAGCTGGTCAAAGTTAGTTACCGCCCATCATGTTACCAGCATAAGAAGTCAACTGGCTCGAAAGTTGCATCACTATACATGAGTTAACAAGAATATCTCATTCATTCTCTAAATCTACCAGCAACACTGACTCAAGTTATTTGTTCAAGTTGCGATAATCTCATTAGTGGGAACAACCCCTTACTATGCTTCAAGTCACATAACATGATCTTCAATAGCAAGGATAACGGAAGGAATTACAAACAAGACAACAACAGATAGGAGAATGACAAAAAATAACAAATAAATATTGTATATGTTCTTAAATAAATAATAGTAATTTATGATGATAAGTATAACAGAGATTAATTAAGGATAAGGAAGTACATAAAAAGTTTTAAATTGAATAAAAGATAAAAACGCCAAGTTAATATGATATTATTTTCATCATAACTACACCTATTAATGTTAATATGCTATCCAACATTCATGATTATTATTAAGCAATCTACAACTATAAATAAATTACAGTTATTATGTCATGTCATTGATGAATGATGATTGGTAGATTTGTCCATCATCCCATAATGTTTTATCTCTCTAATAACATAATTTGCTAGAAGCCTAGAATTGACTATTGAACCAGCAACAATTCAATTTCAAAGAAGAAAATGCTATTAACACATGATTAATCCCTCCTACGATTATAAATTCAGAATGTAATGAAGTTATGGTAGTAGGTACACTAACACGTAAAGGTTGCAAAGATAAGGACACTAACCTGACCCTGACAAAAGTATGCTTTGTCATACCCGTCTCTTTCTCACAATGCAAATTCTGAAGAAATTACAGAAACTCAGAAGAATCAGGCAAACCAGGCGGCGGTCGACCGGTCCGGTCGACCGCATTCGTGCACAAGGAGATCGGTCGACCGGCCCGGTCGACCGACGGTTCTCTGGAGTTTGGGTTTTCTACTGAGAGCTGGTCGGTCGACCGGGCCGGTCGACCGGAATTGATCGCGGTCGACCGGTCCGGTCGATTCGGTCGACCGGTGCGGTCGACCGACGGTTCTCTGGAGTTTGGGTTTTCTACTGAGAGGTTGTCGATCGACCGGGCCGGTCGACCGGAATTGATCGCGGTCGACCGGTCCGATCGACCGACGCTGTTTTGGGCTGGGCTTTCAGGTTTTCGACCCAATTCGTTTTGTAAGTTCTATATATACCTAAACCTGTTTGTTTAGGGTAGAGGTTGGACGAATTTGAGCAGCCAAAGAGAGAGAATCATTTCATCCAATTGTGAGAGAGCTTTGAGAGATCTAGAGCTTTGTTTTAGGGTTTGGTCTGAGAGATTTGTAACCCTATTTGTATTCTCTTGATTTCTAGTAGAAAGAACTCCCCCCTCCTTGCCCCGTGGACGTAGGCAACTTGTCGAACCACGTAAATTCTTGTTCTTGCTGTGATTGTGATTTGCATATTGTTTGTGGTTTAGTTCAAGTTATTGTTCGTGTTGCCCTAGAAAGCTTCCGCCGCGCACAACAAATTCAGCATCCAACAGGGCACCCTTGAAATCTCATAGTTTTAATTTGCACACCTAGCAGTTGAAAGAAAAAACAAGAGTATCTAAATGAAAATAAAAAGAGGAAATGATCATAAAGGAATGCAACTAACACGGAGTTTTTTGATCGAAAGAGCATGATCAATTTAAATTAGATGACAAAGCCTTTTTGAACTTGAAAAAGTGTGCTTGCGCTGCAACCAATGAAACCACAAAAAGAGGATGCATCCAAGCATAGATATGCATGGAATTTCTTGAATTGTTATCCAATGAGCAAGCTTTAATGAAGAAACTTGGTACCAAGTTCAATGAAGTTGCTCCATATATAAAGATTTTGGTGATAATTTATTATCCAATGAGCAAGCTTTAATGTGGCTTATAATTTCATTAGATACATACCTTTCTGGGATTAATTTAATGAAAGTATGGCGAGATAACCAAACCATGGCACCAAAAACTAGTATTGTCAATGTAATGTACGGTTATAGCAAACTTATATGTATTAGGTTATGTATGACCTACTAATGTTTCTTTTACTTTCATCTTTATTACAAGGAGGTAATATGCTTCCCTAGGAACACAAACCATAATATATATAGTATTATAGTATCAGTTATATATACTATAGGTTATATTATATCCTATATATTTACTATACTATATATATATTATGAGTAGTATATATATATATATATACTATATATATACTTATATATACTAGTATTATGATTAGTAGCTAGTACTATACTATACTATTATATATATATATTGAGAAATATTTGGAGAACCCTTATCTACAAGTTTCTTTCACTTGAACTTGGTAATGAGGGTGGCCAAACTCACCCCTACATCATCTCGAAGATAGCAGGCCTTTTGTTAAATGGAAGTAGTGTAGAATAGTGATTGCATGCCCTCTCTTGAGGCATGATGTAGGGGTGAGATTTGGGCCACCTTACTACCAAGTTCAATTGATAGAAACTTGGGTATCAAGGTTCTCCACATTTCTCTCTTCTCTCTCTCTCTCTCTCTCTATAATATTTAATATATTATATTCATATGATATATATATATGATATATATATATATATAATACTATATATAATAGTTATATATTATAGTATATTATATATATATATAGTGGGGGGTGTGTAAGTTGTTACTATTGTGAATAGACCCCTTGTAATATTGGCTAAGTGCGATACACTCTTTAGTGACCTTTTTCGATTCTTTTAAAATTGAAAAAAATTACGAGATCTATCCACCTCCTCAAACATTGTTAGCGATTTGAAGAGTAAAAAGAATTTCACTAAGGGGTCTATTTGCATCAAGTAGAACTACAAGGGATCTGGTTACAACAGACAAAACTACAGGAGTCTCTTTACAATTGAGTGATACTGCAAGGGTTATGTTCGCAATTAACCCTTTATATTTGTGCTCTATATGCAAATGATTAACTATAATCACGTGCAAAATAAAGAGCATAGAACCAAACTATAAGAGACTCATCTTTTCTTTCTTTTTTATTCATTCAAAAAGGAAATTTATTCAAGCAACCAGGCAACTACTAAACTTGATAAGATTAAGTAGATATTAGACACCGAACAAAGAGCACCATGATAAAACATTTTCTCAAGTGTAAAGCCACAGATTACGTGATTTAAATATTATGCCATAAGCTTAAAGAGCTTTGACTGAATATAGGTTTGGTTTTGTCTACACAAAAACAGAAACCAAATAAAAGCATGCATGATTAAAAAAAAGGATTCAATTTCTATTTCATTCAATCCAATAAAATAATAATCAATAACCCAAAACAAGGTAATATCAAATATAAAGATTTACCTTGATAAATGGGTTCTCCCACAATCGTCAAATCCTTGAACCTATAAACACTACATGAAAAAGAAAAAATTAGAATAATATCAATTACCATCAAAACTAATTACAGTGCAAGAAAAGAAAATAAATTCTAATGCGTAGAACTAAAATTAGTTTGGCGTTATGAATACTTCAAAAATGCAACCAAAAACATAGATAAAGATGCTAAGTTTGCATGAGAATATGAATAATAATGGATTAGGAGTTTGAATTCAAACCGCTTAATAAATGTTCCAAATTAGTAATTTGATGAGCTAAAAAGTACTCAAACTTTAGAAAGTGCAAGCATATTAACTGTTCTAAGGTGCAAAGTGCATGGTACATGATTCATGAACATAGAAAGCTCTACTAGAACAGTATATTGGGTGATAACAAGCTACAGAAGCACTCAACCATACAAAGTGCAAGCATCAAAAGCATTCTAAGAGGCGGTAAACATTAGGTTGTGTGGTTTTTCTTTTTTCTTCCTCTAATCACTCTTGGTCATCATGAATCACCAAACAAATTCAAGAAAATATTAATTAAAATTTGATAAGT